TATATTAAGAAAACTGAACCATAAGACAGAACCAAGAAAAGCAGATGCAAGTATAAAATTAGAGAAAAGGTCAAAAGAAAGCCAGGAAAAACCGAGGCTGAGCTGTCTCTCTGTCTTTTGCCTTTCCTCCAGTAATCCATTACAGGGATAAAAGTCAGATGGCATCTTAAGTCTTCTCACATGACAGCAGTGACTTTTAGGGTGAGAAGTTTAAAGGTCAGCAGGAGGGTAGGTGAGAGAGAGGAAATCCAAGGTATACCAGCGATATACATTGGAATGGCTAATCTTCACCGTCCTGTCTGCTGCTAGAGGTACCAAGAACTAAAGGCACATGATCAACCAAAGAACAGAGCAGACGGCCCTTGCCAAATGTTGTAATTTGAAAGATTATGAACCCCTGTTGAGAGCTCAGGCAAGTGCAGTGCTGAAGAGAAGGCTGTGTCTAAGTAAAGTAGAATGAAATTATGTAAACAAAGAGGAGGAATTGATTTAGAACACATCAAACATCATAAAGTGTTGATACTGCACAATTAAGTGTGCTAAAGTGTTTAACCATAAACTGACCATATACCTTCTTCATTTTAAGAAAAACGATTATAAAAATCAAGTTTAAATTTAAACCCTTCTGCTAAAGAAGCCTTTTTAAAGACAATGTCCATACTGTCTGATAACCATCACAATGCCCACGTTTTCTCACCTGTGGACTGCCAAGTGGACCAAAGTTCATGTTGGGTGTGGATGGCAGTGATACAGAGGATGAGCTCGAAGATGATGTAATAACTGGGTAGGGTGAAGCAAGGCCATTCATTGGAGAGCCCAAGGTGGACATGGCAGATGGTAGGGGCCTGGAGGTGCTGATGACTGATGGGTGGCCCACCATGCCACCCATGGAAGGCAGGTGGGTGTGGGTTGTGCTCATCGGCCCTGTAGAGTCTGAAGGAAAAGTAAAGGGGTCTTAGAGAACAAAGCATCACAGGGAGCTGCCTGTTTACTACGAACACTGGTACCAATAAAAGCAATCCAGTACAACAAATGAAAATGTACAAGGCTTGCTGTGTCGGTCCTTTTTTAGGCTGTATTGTGTTGGATTCTTGTTTTGTATTAGATCCTGATCTTGTAATTATAAAACAATCTACACTGGTACAGAGATTGTAACACTCCACAACTTAAATACAACATTAAAGAATCAAGCATGAAAAAGCTGCATATTGTTGACCAATAGTGCAATATGTCATTACGCACTCAGTGTTAAGTAAATATGACAACACAGAGTGGTGGTGACTTTGCTTTGCCTCCACTGATGTAAACTGACAAGCTGGTATTTACATAGTTGACCCACTTAGAAAAGCTGTCAGTCAACTGGTTAATAGGGCATGGCGCGTGTGATTTCATGCATGTGCTGTATCTGTAAGGACATTCATTCATCACCAACACAAATTACAACAAATAGAAACGTACAAATATGGTATGCACATTAGCCAGCATGTCCTGTAAACATAATTAAAACATACATATGGTGCAGGCTGTCACAGCATGTTCTGGTACAGATGGAAGCAATAAGCAGAACCTCTCTGGGCACCATACATGTGCGAACATTTGGTTTAGTCTGAATGTCCATAAAATGCAGAGGCTTCTTCTTGTGTGTCAGTGCGCCATCCCCCACCCAAATTTACACACACAAACAAACATACAGGGTGTGATAGTGGGCCCAATGCCACTATTATAAGTTAAATGTCATATTCTTGTTTGTGTGTGTATGTGTAAAGGTGGGCAGTGGCATGATGCCCTGACATGCAATGAACAGCAACAGTATTACAGTTTTAAAAATGTACAATGGTATTTTTTCTTCTTTTAATCCCTCAAAGTTCAATAACACCAAAGTGCCATCCATCCATTAATCCAGCTGACATTTGGTGAGGTACACCCAGTCTATCACAGGGCTGATACATAGATACAGACAACCACTCACACTCACATGCATATTTACAGCAATTTAGAGTAACCTGTCAACCTAACCTGGATGTCTTTGGACTGTGAGGAGAAGCTAGAGTATGTGGACAAAGCCCACACAGGTACAGGTAGAACATGCAAACTCCACTCAGGAAGGCCCCAAGGTTCAGACCCAGAGCCTACGTCGTCATCGTTGATGAGTAGTCACCAGTTTTCATTCCTTTTTTCTGTAATTATTGTTACTCATTTAACTTTTACTTGATGCACAATTTAAAACAAAAACACTCTCATGCAAGGGAAATCCTAAATGCTGACACTGTGACAACCTTTTCACTGAAAAATCCCACAGACACTAACTGTCAGCTCGTTTACAAAGAGATACGTTTCTCTTCTGCCTAATACTGAGAAAAATTTATGTTCACAAACACTCCTTGGACTGTTTATGCTTGTCAAGTTTGAGAAAGTGGCTTCAGTCTGTGGGCTTTTTGAAAGTTAAACATAACCACTTGCTAAATTGTTTGCAGTACTTTTGCAATGCTGCTCTGATACTTAACCTCTGGCAGCGATTATCCCCATTAGATGCATCAAAACATTGTGTACTGCAAGACAGTTTGTTTTTTTTCCAGATTTCACAGAATTGAAAAACAGGGAGGAATGTGACATTGTCTGCCTGGATGTAGGACATTTTGCCTGAAGACAAATTCTGAAACACACAGCTGGTCATTCACTCCATCTCTGTATGCCAAGGAACAGATATTGGGCAACTTCCTGTCTAGCGGTGAGACTGTACTGTTAGCCGCCACCCCCTTTCTCACTCTAGCACTTTCTCCAGTCCTCCATCACTGATCCCTGACAGGCAAATGTATACTGGGGCCTCCCTCTCTCCCACAGAGCTGACTGGATGCATTGAAATTATATGCACTCATTATACATAGAATATGTTACAGCCTCTAATGCCACAAAATGTATAACCTAGATTTAAATTCTGCAGAGGCGGGTGTTTATTCCCAACTTTTTAGAGTGCATTTTCATCTAAAGGGCAAGCTTATGTAATGGCTGATTTTGTGCACTGACCCCGTTTTATGTGCACGACAGATTTCCTTTGGGACTTGTAAAGATCTGTTCTGCTCTAGAAGAGCTGGGTAACAACATGCCAATCTGCTCTCAGACATCCAAACCAACAAATCTCCTGATGGTCCAGGTTAGATGTAAAATTTGACAAGATAAAGGTTGAAGAAACACTGAATGGGGGTGGCTAGGCAAACAGCAACTTGAAGGCAATTTTTAATTTATCGAATAAACTTTTGGATGTTGAGCAAACTTCTAGTAATGGTCATACTGTATAATGTACATGTTAAGCATAAGGGTTGTGCATATATTCTTGCCTTTTTCTACAGCAGTGTGTCCACACTTTCTTATGTGCTTAAAATCAGGGCAAAAAAGGAAGACAGCAGTCCAGACCAAAATTCAAAATTACACCTAATAATCAGTAATGTACATGCAGAAAAAATGTTGAGGTGTCAGACTTAGAGAAAATCTAAAGGCCAAAAGCTGCTCTGTTCCTTAAATTGTATTTCTTTCATCCTGCTAGCAAAAACACAAATATGACACTAACATTCAGATGATTGATGAGTTGATTGACAGGAACATAACAACTAGTTAAAAGTAATTTGTCAAGCAAAAATGATAAAGATCTTATGGTTGTGGCTTCTCAAATATGATGACTTGTTGCTGGTTTACATTATATTACTGTAAATTGAATGTGTGTTTTAGATTGTTGGCAATGCAAACTCTAAAAACATCACTTTGAGCTTTCATTATCTTTGACAACTTATAAATGAAGCAATTAACAAACTAGTATTAGCACTTGGTGGTTGTATGCCTCTGCTAAGTAGTCAAATTCATGGGAATGGGACTGACCTGAGGTCACTGACCTTGACCTTGACCACCCAAATCTATTCAAGTCATTCTTGAGTCAAAGTGGACATTTGTGCCATATTTTAAATCCCTTTAAGGTGTTCCTGAGATATCACATTCCCAAGAATGGGATGGACATGAGGTGACAGTGACCTTTGACCTCTGACCACCAAAATCTAATCAGTTCATCCTTGAAGCTGAGTGGACACTTTCTGCTAAATTTGAAGAAATTCCCTGAAGGTGTTCCTGACATATCGCATCCACAAGAATGGGACAACCCAAGAACATAAAAAACCCAACAGATGATTCAATAATAAAAATACTCTTTAGTTACAATCTTATTGGAAGCCTACTAAATCTCTGACTTGGTAAAATAAGTCTAAAACATAGCCTGCATGGCTGCATTTTATGCAGCGTGGATGGTCTTCATGGCTGCTGTATACAGGGCTGCAGAAAAGCACACAGACACTCATCTTGTGGGATGCCTAAAAGGGGATGGCTGGCGAGGTGAGCATTCTTTGTGTGTGTGTGTGTGTGTGTGTGTGTGTGTGTGTGAGGAGGGAGGCCAGCCTGTTCACCAGAGGAAGCATAAATCAGCCCAGAGTGGCTGATAGGGGCCTATCCTTGAATGACCCACCTCAACCACTTGTGCCATCTCCATTCTATGCAAATCACCTCTATAGAATAGGATGTGTTGAAAGCTGCAGCCACCTCAGAGGACTTTTCTGTCAGCCCGCGCGCGGGTTACTGGCTGAGGAGGCTGCAGCTGCCGGGGTACTGGCTGAGGAGGCTGCAGCTGCCGGGGTACTGGCTGAGACGAAGGCAGCTGGACACTGGGTAGAGAAACAGGAACTACAGCCCCAGTTGGTGGCTTCATATGATATTAAAGAGACAGCACAGCATTTTTGGAAATGAGATGAGAAGGCTGATATCAATACACAATATGGCCAAAAGTATGTAGACACTTCAGTTCAAACACATTCGCATACTTTTGGTGTTTTTAATTACCTTTTCTTCGTTTCATATGAAATACTATTTACTATCGTCAATTTGAGACTGTTTTCATTATGACTTCAGTGATACGACAAGTTCTATAGCCAGTTTTTAATGCCTAGTTACTCTTCACCCACCCTGTACTAATCTGTAACCTACATTTCAAAAGTAACCTTCCCTGCACATACCCTGGTGAGAAAATCTTTATCTTAGCCTAAACTTAAGTACAGCGCAACTGTATATCATGCAACAAAGTAACAAGCTCATCCCGTTAACACAGGTGATACCGCAGGCCACAGTGAGGAAATGGTGTGAAATGTGACATGTCTTCACTGTTACTAATGGTAAAAACAGACTGATAGGTGAAGAGTGGTAAAGACTGCGGAGAAGATCACCAGGACTCCACTGCCCTCTCTGCAGAGCATTTACCACCGCAGGGTGTGTAGGTAACCTGCCTCCATCCTCAAGGACCTCACCCACCCCCAGCACGGACTGCTCATACCCCTGCCCTTCAGTCAGACGCTCAGAAGTGTGAAATGCAGGACTTCTAGACTGAAAAACTCTTTCTTTCCAACTGCCATCAGACTCCTAAACAGCTGACTCAAGATCTACCTCATGTAATTCATCTGTGCTGTTTACATACTCATTTTGCACATGTATAATTGCACACTCACTGCTGAGTATTTACACTCCACGGCTCCCACGTAGCATAGATTCTCTCTGCATTATATTGTGTTCTTCTTGTATTGTTGCTGCTTTAAAGTGCCTTAGATTTGTGTTATTGCTCACCTACTTTATATTTTATTTGTAGTTTGTGGCATTCATGTGGACGCCAAAGTAAGAATTTCATTGTACAGGGAAACACGTTTCCTAACTGCATATGACAAATAAACACTTCGACCTTGACCTTGACCCTAGAACAAAGCCTGTGGAACACGCATGCCTTCTGTATCAAACACTGCACAGCAGAGAAACATACATCACCAAGCACTGGGGGATTTTTCATAGACAGCCTAAAAAACTCATCATAAGAAGCTCACAGAATTTACACAGAGTTATTCTCCTTTGTTTTG